TGGTGGCACATAAGAAGACACACAAATATTGATGCCACTCCAACAAACAACCTTTATTCTCAAGAGAATGACACGTGATCTAAAATTGGAAGCATTACACCCAAGCTACATGTAAAAGAAGGTCTAGATGTATTGTATAAATATATAATGATGATGATGATGATGATGATGATGGTGATGAGGGTGATGATGATCAAATGTTATAGATAGGAGTGAACCCCCTTTCTCCACCCTCATTGTCCATCATTAATAATAATGCTGCAGTTATTATAATAAACTAGTACTTAATCTTACCAGGCATTGCGGTGCATAACCAGCTGGGTGCAGTTTGGAATCTCATTGTCRGATCTGAACGTCTTTCTTCCTGTGTTGTTTGAAGCCGTCAGCAAGCCTGAACTATTTGATGCATGTGTAGATCTGTTGGTTGAKGTTATCAGCCATCCTACCAGTCACAAGTAAGAAAAAACTTCAGTTTATTTGTTCAATTTGGAGATTTTKTATCTGTTTCCAATCTCACAAACGTCTTCATTACAACTATGATTACCCTATTAAATCTAAAAAACTTGTATAAAATTGCAAATTCTAAACAGGYGTTCCCTGGGGATGGATAAATGAAAGAACAAAAGAAAGAAGAAAAAGATTAAAGTAATAGACAAAATGAATGAAGAATATATATCTTACAGTTTCTTGTATGTAATTTCAGGTACCCAAATTCTGTATGGAAATTTGCTTCAAACTTGACACAACTTCACTCTTTATTAAGAAACTCCTTGGATTCTTCTGACATGGTAAGTTATAAGAGAAAAAAATTGTAACCARGATTAAGATAATATACAAAAAAATTGATTAAAATATTTATTGTGCATACCATAAAATCTTGGTTTTTGCAATTATGCTCAGTATTCACGGGGYATTCAAACTTACTGTATTTTGTTTCTTCATACAATAGGATGTAGTGTGCGGTATTTGTAGGATTTTAGTATCACTTGGTGAAACACACACAAARCTTCTGCTGTTTCCTGAATCAAATGAAAGACAACTAGTCAGCATGGAAATTGTACAAGCAATCTTGGTAAGTAACTATTATGATGATCACCGCAAGAAACTAATCGCACTCGGCTACTCCTTGTAAGACTCTTACCCTTCCTTCATGCTTATCAACCTCCTTCGTGCAACAAAAACTCAATGGAAGCATTCTCAACAACCAATCCTTAGAGTAAGTGCCTATTTTTATATTAATCTGGTAATTTTTCAGGAGTGCACGAATGCAAATGGATGGTATCCTGTAGATGAACAATGCAGTGAAATGACTTTGAATTTCTGGTACACATTACAGGTATGAAAAATGGACAAATGATTACAGTGTACGAATCATGCATTAAACCTTATTAGTTCCTGGTARTCAATAAGGCTTTGCATAACTTTGTGTGTGGAACCAAAATGTTTCCTTGTGGAAAACCAGAGTCGAACATATTACTATTAGTCCATGACTTTGTTTGTCTATTTTGCCAATCAACCCTGGGCTGGCATTAATAATGCTTTGCATAACTTTGCTGGTGGAACCAAGATGTTTCCTTGTGGAACACCTGACTTGARTTTTCCAAAACCATAATTATTGCTAATCCTGAATTCTGTATAAATATATTAACAGCTTAGAGTGTCATATTAATAAACCTTGAGTAGYACTTCCTTCCATGACTCCTCTTTTGATGATACAGTATTTACCAGAGTAAATAACGTACAGTTCTCTAATGTTATACTTTTTGCATCAGGATGATATATATTCACAAGATGCAGCAATACAACTACAACTACGTAGTGCTTATGAACCAGTATTCAATGCATTATGTCAGGTAAGCTTACAAACATTGATATCATGACCTTGAGGGTAGTTAAAGTAATCACAGTTGAAAATTCTCTGTTGTTCAGAATTAGCCTTGATTTTGTGCAAAAATATTCATGTCTTCCAGCGAATCCCCTGAAATTTAAGAGTGTTTGTATTTTGAAAGTTGTGCATTCTTTACTTTTATTACCATTTATATAATTTGTGAAAATTTTAAAGCTGAAAGGAGCCTATCCCAGAATAAACAAGTTTGTAATGAAGTTAGGCTATGAAGTGCTGTATTCTATGAATTCAAAATGCCTCTTTGAAAGAATATTTTGTAATGATTTTATCTTAAAAGGTTTTCCTACAAAAAGTGCAGTACCCTACAGACAGTGAATGGAATGGCTATAGTTCAGGTAAGATAAGGATTGATCAGAAAGCTGAACTTAAAAGAGCATTTAATGCGATTTAAGGAATTTGATCCAGATATGCTATGTAGATTTACAATTGTTTGTATGATTTCAGATGAAAAAGAACAATTTCGATATTACAGACAAGACGTCTCAGATACCATGGTAAATACTTATTTATARAAAGGAGGACACATTTCTAGTGAGGTTCACTGTGTAGTCATATTTATACACTTATTTCAATAAAGTTRGCCACCTGAAAAGCTWCAAAGGTGGGACCGACAAGGATTATGGGTAGATACATTTTACATGTTTCAACCGCTTGATAACTGTTCATGGACTTGAGATCTTCTACCAGTTACATGTTAACCTCCTTTGAGCATCCTCAACTGCTGCAGTTTGTGTCAAAAGCTTTACTTGTTGGATATAAAACATTTCCCCATGATTCTCAGCAATAAAAGCTTTCTGGGTTTTCGGTGACTAACTTTATTGAAATAAGTATATATATTTTGAAATATCCCACTAAAAACTATGCAAATGGAAATAAAAAAATTGGAAAGTCCTTCTCATTCTTTGAATAAAATATATGCACTATGTATAATATTGAATCTACATTATCAGTAGAGCGCAGTGCACATCACCTGTACTTTCCCTTCCTAGTACCACTTTAACAATGGGTATTGATTTATGTTAACAGATGTACATATACTGTGTAACAGGGCCACTACTGTTACAACAATTACATGGAACACTTTCAACATTACTGTCTGGCGAATCCTCCCCTACATGGCAGGTATTATGCTGAACTTGTTGGATATCAATTGTTSGTTCTAATGCTTGGAAAAAATCTTTGTATTGCAGTTAGGTTCCATGAATATGTTTTTTTCAGTTATGATTTATTTAATGGTGCAAAAGGAGGGGGGAGGGTGACAAGTCACCACACCTGGATCTACCCCTTCTCTGCTCTTGATTGTACTATACACTCCTCTTACAAATGTTCAAAGCACTAAGTGTATTATTATTTTCCRTCAACAGTCAGTAGAAGCCACCCTTTATCTTGTACAAGCAGTATCAGAAAATGTCGAACCAGAGGAAGAAGTATTTTTGCCTGCTATTCTCTCACTGCTTCCGAAGCTACCTTCTCAYCCTAAAGTATCCCAGACTGCTCTAATCATGGTCGGTAAGGAATGCCATTTATGACTTTAATTCTTTTACATTTTCGAAATGGATTCGGTGTTATTTTTTTCTTGTTTAAGGCCACGTGTCATTCTCTTGAGTACTGTTTCTTTATTAAGCAGTATCTCTTAAGCAAGAACACATAAATGTATAATTACATGGTCTTGTCCCAAGACTGACAAGAGTGGTCAAGACTGACAGACTACATGTACCTAGAGTCAAGTGTGTGATTTCCACTGATATCCTTTATTTTAGGGTCGTATTCCGAATGGTTGAACAGCCACATAGACCAACTCAGGTCAGTGTTGCCTGTATTGTTAAGTGGCCTGACGCARGAGCACTTRGCGTCTTCTTCCACGCAAGCACTTCGAGGGATATGTGAAGAATGTGTACAGGATCTTGAGGAAGATATCCTACAAGAGATTTTATCACACTGCCAGGTACAGCTTGCTATCAATAGACGACTTTTCAGATCKCGTGTAGAGATTTTACCAGCTGACTGGCGAATTCGTAATAGACCCTTTGCATATGACGTCAAAGCTGCTCAATTTGGAGGACAAAATRAAAATTTTTTAATCTAATGAGAATTGGAAACCTGTTGTTATGTCCTCCAAATTGAGCTGCATTSCGACGTGCTGCAAGGGCCCTATAGAATGTAGATTGATGTTTGAGCATGAAGGGCAGTAGCTACGCTTTACTAAAGGCTGGTAATGAGATTCATGAGATTCAATCAGCGGACTGATGAATGATATAGATATTCTATTCTAAAAAAAATATATTTTCTGTAGGCTGCTCTTACTGGATCTGTTATCAAGGTACGTATATTAATTGTTCATCGCAACCGTAAAAAGAACCTATTGGATTTATATTACTGTGTGTGTGTGTGTGTGTGT